ACACACGCGCGCACGCATGCACGCACTCACGGAAGCACGCACGCACGTCCTCACGAAAGCCGCACACACGCACTCACGAAAGCACGCACGCACGCACGTACGGAAGATCACACACACACACACACACACACACACACACACACACACACACACACACACACACACTCACGGAAGCACGCACGCACGCACTCACGGAAATAATTCGTCTTCTAATTAACTTGGTTAATTTTTTTGAGCGTGTGTAATCGGTTACTTATGCTTAAATACACGCTCACAAACCTGCTAGCCGTGCGGGCACCCGGCGGCGGGGCGGGCACCCGGGCGGGCACCCGGCGGCGGGGCGGGCACCCGGGCGGGCACCCGGCGGCGGGGCGGGCACCCGGGCGGCGGGGCGGGCGAGCAGGCGAAAGCACGTAAAAAAATACCCGAGATACTTAGAAAAATAATTATATTAGATAAATAGGCGTATATCTACAAGTACATTCTACTCTTGGTCTACGTGAACGGCAAGTGACAGCCTATGCGGAAGATAGCAACGGGTTTAGGTCCCGTTAAGTAAGGTTTATGTGTTCTTCATGTGCGGCCATTAGCACTTGTAAAAAATGAAAATAACGATACCATTAATGTAATTACAGCACCTGCGTTATTAGCTATTATTATAGGGAATGAAAATAGCACTTTTACATAAATGCCTGACGCGGCTTTATTCTCCCTTCGTGACATAATTCAGGCTTGCATTAATCAAGCTTAATTACCTGTAAAATTTAAGTCCAGTTTATGTCAACTCTAATTGACGGCAAATTTCGTCTCGCCACGTTTCGCTTCGACGTCTAGAGAAGGATTCCATTAAGCGCAGAGGACTTTGTCGCCTGCATATACATATACCCATGCATACCCACGTGATCTTAAGCACATTAATAGCTCGTTGTTCCCTAGTGGCTGCAACGTCATTTTGCATAACGACGTTTAAATTCTTGACACGCGCGTAGCGTTATAACCGCCACCTAACGCCGCGAGCACGCATGCGCAAAGCAGACGAGTCCTAAAGCGATTCCTCGACTGATGAAAGGTTAAGTAAAGCATTAGGTTTCGTTGATACGTGAAAAATCGCGGTCACGTGACGAGCTCGACGCTCCGTTGCTCTTCTTCGCGTATTCAATCAGAATAATGCGGAATTGATATTAGATCAAACGATCCGCCATTTCAGCGGCAGCTTACTGTCCTTACCGAGCGTATACTTTGTTTCGAACTTCTGAATAAATTTCATAGGGTTACTCGATTGCGTTTCATTTAAATCTCTCAAATTAATTTCTCTGTCGTGCAGCGACTATTGAATGAAATTCTCGCTGTGCTAAATTTCCGACTGGAGATTTAATGAAATGATTATGCCGTAATAGGTTTATTCGTATAGAGTATAGAAGTGACGGTGCATGGATGAAATTGTTGAATTTCTTTCTATTTGCATGAGGTTTTGGTTATTATTAAACGAGTCCATACAGAGCTCTACCCGTCTCAGATACAGAGCAGGACTTAGGAGTTTTTACGGGCGCCATTCTATGCGCAAATGTAATTGCGAGGACGTGTTTCGAAACGCGCTTTTAATTAAATTTCGTTTAATCTCATGAAATGTTTTTGCATGATTTTCGAAAATGAAGACTTCTATCGTTAGCGATACGTGTACCTGTGTAGTTACAGCAAACATTACAAATCAGAACCGTTATAATGTACAGGAATATGTATGTATACTACACTCGTGCTGTGTACGTGTGTGTTGCAAAGGGGAATTTGAACGGCATTCACAGGAAATTGTCGGCAATAATAAGCAAAAGATAGTAGTGAAACATTAAGACCTTGGTAGTAAATACATTTCGTGTTTATTTTGCATTATTTTTATTTATTCAGACGCTCGTGCACGTGCACTATGGTTGGGGCAGGCACGAATTTAGTTCATCGCACGGCATATACCTGCCTTGCAGTCTACTGCCAGCTCGACTGTAAACGCGTATACGGCAACACGTGGGCGGCGTGTCACACGACGTATACAAAGGAGTCATTGTTCGATTGCCTTTAAAATTAATTAACAGTTACCGTCTTTAGTTTAGCCGCGTGGGTTCGTCTAACTAGGAGTAAAGCGGTCCACAGCAACTGTTACCTTTCGAGGGGGAGGTCGGGTGAGATCGGGGGAGGGGGTCGAAATGTTACTTTCATCTGCGACCTACATGGTTAACCACATTACTTATGGCTAATTAAGAGGCTAATGTGTCAATTACAACACGCACTTTTGCTTCCAGCTCATAGGATACGTAGCCGACAAAATGTCACCTTAATGATAAGACCCTTATGAAGAGTGGAGTCATTAGCTACACTAGGCACTATACGAAAGTACGAAAATCTTATCCGATACACGCTGGTCCTTGATGGAGCCATTTACTATTGACTCCACAACCAACAAGTGTGACAACCACAGCCAAATCGATCAGGCAATGTAAAACGCGATAGATAGAATCGGCAGTGGAAAAAAAACAATTGGTTTTTATTCACTTCGGTAGTAATCAATATTAAATGATGAGACAGAAGAAACGTTTTACTGCGGACTTCTGATATAATCAATATACGTGTACTATAGCAATGATGTACAATAATGATGTGACAATAATGTGTCGCTAGCGGAAATCCAATCGCTCCCACTGGATTATATAGATGGCTCGCACACACACACACACACACACACACACACACACACACACACACACACACACACACACACACACACACACACACACACACACACACACACACACACACGACGCACATCGTGCGCGAGTATTGCTGTAGTCAGGGTGGTGTAAACGGGGGTAAGTGAAGCGGGGTGAGGAAGGGTGAAGGGTCGCGAGGGGAGAGAGAGGCGAGGGAGGGGAGGGGAGGGGGGGAGGGGGAGGGGAGAGGGGAGGCTCGTGTTTGTGTAGCACGCGAGGGTAGAGAGATAGGGCGCGCGGGAACATTATACGCCGAACGCACTACGCACACGCACCACCACACACAACACACACCGCACACGCACACTTCACACGCACGAGGCACACACGCACACACGCGATACCACACAAGCTCTCTCTCTCGTCTCTCTCTCTCTCTCTCTCTCTCTCTCTCTCTCTCTCTCTCTCTCTCTCTCTCTCGTCTCTCTTCTTCTCTCTCTCTCTTTTCCTCTTCTCTTCTTCTCTCTTCTTCTCTCTCTCTCTCTCTCTCTCTCTCTCTCTCTCTCGTCTCTCTCTTCTCTTCTCTCTCTCTCTCTCTCTTTTTTTCTCTTCTGGCTCTCTCTCTCTCTCTCTCTCTCTCTTTCTCGCTCTTTTTTTTCGCTTTCTCTCTCGCTCTCTCTCTCTCTCTTGCGCGCTCGCTCTCTCTCTATCTTTCTCTCTTTCTCTCTTTCTCTCGCGGGATGCGAATGTGCGTGTGTACTTCTTGCAAGTCATGTCGGGATAATTTAACCATTCTGCCATGCGCTATTTCTTTAGGTCTGTCGGTGTTCGCGATAGAATACTAGCGTACAAAAAACACGAACATCGTTTAAGTATTGCTGTTACACAAGAATGACACGCAATGCAACTGGTTTAGAGTCACCACTATCTACTAAGGTAGGTGATGGAATAGTGCTGTAAACAATAGATCGGTTGCGTGGCGGTGGCATTGCAAGTCACGCGTACAGTGCAGGCTAGAGATCGGACACACAATAATCGCTGTCTTACATTATTGTATACGCAAACGATATTATGAATGCATGTTCGACATTGAGCGCAATAATTATTATTACGGCATCGTATAAAAACAGACGTGCTCAACGCACTCTTGTTGTTTGCAATTGGTATGCTGCCTCTTTGCATGTTTGCCTGATCATCACTGGATAGATTTCCCCCTTTCCGGCTATACATCACTACATTCATTGCCACGCATCGTTCGTGAAACGAATACGGTGACTGTACATCATCCTCCCTCATTTCCTTGCCTCCATATCTTGTTCCGCTGTTGCCTCATTACATTTCCGTGTGATAAGTCCCCGGCGAACATTTATGTAGGAGGCTTTAGGGTGATATATCCTAATGCTCAGCTGTTATCTTTTCTGTCGACTCGGAATTTCAATTAATTAATTAATCTTACAATAAATGTTTTACTTTCACTGGAAAAGAGCGTAATAAGATCTGACCAGCTATTATGCATAATATAGGATTTATTTCAATTATTCAATGCATTTTGCATTCGTCCTTGCGCATATAGCCATTACTAGGCATGTCTAGCGCTGTAAAGTAATAAGTGCAATCATAACTCTATCGCTTGCGCTGTTTCGCCTCGTTTATTTAACCCTTACGCTAACGCAATTATACAAACTATTCGACATTGTTCTGTTATATACAATGTAGAGAAACGGGGCGCCTTAATCATATCACATGAACTTCAAAAAAATATTAGCGACAACTGTGAGAACCTTTATAAGAAAAGTAGCTCGTCAAGATGGGCTTATAGTGGTTTGAGTATAAAGAAAAGACTCGATAATAATTAATTTCAGAAAAAACATGTCTGAAATCAGTAAGAAGATTTTGGTCGCTGTATTACCGTTCGGGGAACGCGGAACCTTATAATTAACAGACTGAGTATTGCATTGCAGCGGAGTGAACCATGGAAGTTGCTCGTGTAAGCCTGCATCCTCATTAGTTTAATTAAGTACAGAAGCGCGTCTCGTTCGTGTAATTTGCAATACACAGCGAATTTCTCGAGTCGAAAGTAATTAAGCGATGCCCCCCCTCATATTACCGTATGAAGAAAATGGACGCCTTCTAATCATCCTGTGTTAGCGTTGAACTTTAATTAAACTAAACCCCGAAAACCTTCACTGCCTTCAAGCGAAGTTTCCGATCTTATTAAAGCGCTCGGCGTGTGTAACAATGTAAACCTAATATCGCGATGCAATTATCTTCACTTCTCACGTATAGATGTCGCTGCTGTTTCAGCTCTACTGGGTTGGGCCGATGATGGGCGGAATCTTCGGCGGATTCACATACGAGTACACGCACGATTCTTCGAACGCCTTCCAGTATCTGCGTCGCTCCTTTCGACGCAAGTGGCCGACGGCCGTGCAGCGGAGCCGGAGCACGTTGAGCACGAATAGCACGGAGATGACGATGACTGACGATGATTGCCGAGTGTAGGCAGCCGAGATGATGACAATGCTGTCATGGCGAGATGCAAGAGGACGACGACCTTCGTTTCAGACATTCCTGCACGTGTGTGCGTGTGTGTGTGTGTATGTGTGTGCGCGTGTGTGTGTACGTGTGTGCGTGTGTGAGCGCGTATGTGTATACGCGTGTGTGCGTGACGTTAACAAATGTGTTGTTTCTGAGAGAGCAACTGCAGATGTATTTGAGCGAACGTATATTCATTGCGTGAAAAGAAATGCGCTCGGCACACGCGAAACGCGTGGATTTTACACGATAGATCGTAAAACACGTGGAATGCTTAAAGATGTAATGCTATACTTACATGCGCATGGGTATCAAACGGGAAACTGCATGGTAAAGTACATTCACTGAACGCATGCATCACCGACTTCTCTCTTATACTCTTTCCGCCCAAGTTCTCGTCTTCCGATCAGAGCAAGGGATACGTCTGCGAGATGAATATCGTATAATATACTATATATATATATATATGGCCTATGGGGGAATCTATGAGAAAATATTATGTCTTCGTCGAAGTGTTGCATGCGTGAATTCGCAAGGGTCCTGGAGGAACGGGCGGATCCGAATCGCCCCACTCCTATATGCCGTCCCCCTATTTCTTCTCCTTCTTCTTTTTCTTTTTTCTTCTTTTTCTTCTTCTTCGTCTTCTTCTTCTTCCTCCTCCTCCTCTCTTTCGCGCTCACTCTTCTTTTATCTTTCTCTCTATTTATTTTTCTTCTTATCTCTACATATCTCCATCTATCTCTCTTTCTCTCTATCTGTCTCCCCATCTCCCTTCTATTTCAGTGTCCTTACTACAGACATGTGTCTATCTCACCGGCAGTCGGCCATGTGGGTATTACTGTGGGTAATAGCTATTAATCTGCTGTAGCCAGCAGTTCACATATTACGTGCGCGTTCGTATTGCTGTCAATTTGTTTGCAAGTAAATCAGCCGAAAGATTCGCGCGTGCGGTTAGTTCCAGATAACAACGTTCGATGGCAGTTGCGCTGCTGCGCGTGAAAATAGACGAGCTCCGGGCTCCGGGCGTTCGGTCGGTTTTCTGGCCCATAATGAAATTGCGAACGTACGCGGCGTCAGTCAATCTTTTCGTTAGGCCAATCATTAGTGTGTGTGTGCTTGTGTGTGTGTGCGTGTGTGTGTGTCGCGCGTGCGCGTGCGTGCGTGTGTGAAACGCCCTAACCACCGGCATGTCTACAACATGGCTGGTGTTTATGACCGCCTGCCACGTGTAGCAACAGAGCAAAATCGAAAAAATTATGAAAACAAAATCGACCTGGCTTTCAAATACCCGTTGCGTTCGTAACCAGCCAATATCAAGATGGCCGTCTTTGGTGACCTTCACCGATAGGGCTCTATAGCTACCTCAAGGTGATCTTCCGATTAGCATGAAGTGCAATTTAAAGCTTCTGCTCTAATTAAAACAATTGGCTAACTTCAACATGGCTGCCATTATTAGCAACCCTTGTGTATAGCAATATCGCTTTGTGGGAGAAACCTCCAGCTGACCTTCCTTTGCCGTAAAGCTTCTTCTTCTTCTTCTTCTTCTTCTTCTTCTTCTCCTTCTTGGGTCACTACACTACACTCGACCTAGCCACGGCAGCACACAGGACCTAGTGCGGTGGTTGAAAGCCTCCAGGTCTCCAGGTCTACAGTGCTCTGGTAATAGGAGCCATTCCAGGAGATGTCCCAATAGTCTGGTCCTCCTCACAGTCACATTCGATTGGGCCATCTTCAATGTATCCCCAATTTCTGCATGAGTTCCCTGCATCGATCAGCTGAAACCTCCAGCTGACCTTCCTTTGCTGCGAAGCTTAATAAAACCTCTCTAGCCGGACAATAAAAATGCAGTACTGAAGTGGCCGTCACTGATTATCTCCGCCGAGTATAGCAACACCATTCTATAGGCGAGCAACCTGCAGATAACCTCTACCTTCGAGTTCTATATGCCATTATTTACTACCTATCATTTTGTAAATGGCCACCAATACACCGGCATGCAACAAATATAGCTGAAATGAATATAACGAAATGTAGCTGAAAATATTAGCTGCCTACCTAGGATGTCTGTTAAACGTAAAGGTTACGTATATAGCACTTATATGAACGTAGCATGGTGCAAATATGACCGCCGTTATAATGGTTATGCGAAGGAGAATCACGTATTTTGCTATTATCATGCATGCAGCGTGTCCGTTTCACTATTCCGATAACCTGCATCAATACGTGCCCTGTACAGCAACCCGTGGCATACACAGAGAGAGAGAGAGAGAGAGAGAGAGAGAGAGAGAGAGAGAGA